CGGGAGCCGGCGGGCTTCGGGAGCAAATGCCGCTGTTCGTAACCGCTTAAGTAACTTGACTGTTCGCTGCGGTTCTTCAAAAACCGAAAAACGGGGTTGCTCCGGGTTTGGTTTTCAGTTCTTTTCAGTTCGGCGCGGGTCGGCTTAGGCGGTAAAAGCTCCTCTGTCCGCAGCTTGTCGCAGCGGGGTTGAAATCGTGTTTCTGCTGTGGGATTCGTGGAACAGCGAAGTGTTTCTGTGGTGTTTGTAGAATAAGCTTTGGGTAAAAAATAGCTTGGCATTTATTTCTTCCCAGGCTTAGCCCGTGCCCTGTCTTTGGGGATGGGTTTTGCTCCACATACGGAACAGTACGCGACTTGATAGAAAAAAGATTTCAGCTGTTCAGTGATTTCTAGGCCTCCGAGCCCTGCTTCCATGGTGTTTACCGAAATTTGTAGGGTGGTTTTCTCTGTGTCTAATTTCTACCGATAAACATCTGCCCTGGCTGTGTGAGCGGGGCTGGTGCCAGGACCCAGCAGATGCACCAGCAGAAGGTTCTTGCTGGCTACAGCTGAGATCCGAGATGCTCAGAATTCTGCAGTTGCGGAGGAGAACGTGTGCTGAGAAAGAACCCTTAGATGTAACTCTCCCTGCTCCCTGTGTGCTAATGGTGTCACCCGCAGGTTTGCAGAACGATCACAAGGCCCTGATGAAGCAGGTGGAGGAAGCTCTTCACCAATTGCACGCCCGGGAGAAGGAGAAGCATGCCAAGGACGAGGCGGAGGCACTGGCCGAGGCAATGAGCCAGAACCAGAGCCTGCCACAGGCCTTTGCCAAAGTGAACGCGGTGACTCCGGGATCTCCTGCAAGTATCTCGGTAAGTTGGTGGGGTCTGACAGCCTGTGGGGATGGCTGCTTCTGGACCCGGAGAGAAAACATATCAGATGGCTTTCTCTTGTTAATAAGTGGGAATAAGTTGGGGGTTTGATTAGGGTCCCCCTCCGCCTTTTTTTTTTTTTGGTCACACTGGGATGTCCGGTGAATAGACTAGTATGGGAATGAGATGAGTACTCTCATCTCAGCTGTATCGTTGCACCACACAGCTCCTGCAAGGCCTCACTGACCATTCTAGCCTCAGTATTTCTCTTCCCTTAAAGTAGGACAGAGGAATGAGTACTTACTTCTTTCTAAGGTCATGGAGAGGGTGTATGGTGAGAAGAGTCGTGTCACAGCACGCCTCTCCCCGTGTGGCTGGGTGAAGGGTGATGCTCCTGTGATGTTACCTGTCTTTGGAGAAGGCAGATGCTAATCTCTCTTCTGTCTTTGTCCAGGGGCTTCAGGTCGATGATGAGATTGTGGAGTTTGGTTCTGTCAACATAAATAACTTCCAGAACCTGCAGAATATCGCCACAGTGGTGCAGCACAGTGAAGGGGTGAGCTCATTTCTGCTGTAACTGCATTCTCTTGCCTGTCTCTGTTAGCCACAGCTTTTTTCTATGGACTTAGATCTCTGGGATCATCATTTCCATGTCTGAAACAGTGTCAGATTCAGTCTGTGCTGCTGTAGC